AGAAAAAACAATCCACGTGCTTCTAAATCTATGAACCTCTGGTCCCCCACCTGCGAGGGAGGGGGAGGAGCTTGAAAATTATGAGTTCGAATTTAACTTGATTTGGTCTCACCTCAGCATGGCCGTCTAATCCTGTCCCGTTTTCAGCCTCGGGGCCAGAAGATGCCAGATGGGGCCCTGGGAGACTACTATCAGTCGGAGGCGGCAGAACAGTAGTTTACGCTCTAATGTCAAATATAAAATGGTATCTTCGAACTGATGTGCAGTTGACCATTAACATGAAGGGCAGATGCATGTAACAAAAAACAAGCGCATTACTATTCCCTGGGATATTTAGCCACCGTAACCCCCGCCATGATCAACAAACACCCTAGCCATGTGGAAAGCTAGTGCGCACCTGAACCACACAGTATTCATTCTCATGATGCGATGTCACTGAACATACCTGCGATGCTGTATTAGTTGGGGGATTGTGTCCCCCCTGCTCCATACCCGCAACGCGGACAACAAACCTCTAAGTATACCTCGGCATGATAGAACAAACCCAGGCCATTGGTGCACTGTGAAATTTACTGGTAATCCGGACACGCTAGATCATATACACAGTACCATACTACCGCGTACCATCACTGTCACACCGTGAGGGGCCGTGACTATATGACATACCACAACTGGAGAATGCGAGACATTGCGCTAGTTCTGGCGTGCACACACTGTGCCTGAGGAGATTTCCATTACGTACAGGACAGAAAGGTAGTTCGGGGAAATAGTCACTTTCATGTCACGCCCTGATGGCTGTCAGCATATGACATGCAAAGCGTATGGGGCGCTGTCACTGACTAGTATCTATCATTGGTTGCGAGTGATGAGTTTCCAGTCTAGAGGAAGTACTTATCTGCGATGTACCGGGATTCGATGCCGTTTACCTTTGAGGTCTATCAGATATCGGGGCCAAGATAATCTATGCATAGGCCTATTCACAAACATTTTTTGTGCATTTCGATGTAAAGTTTATCAGTAGTAGTAAATGTAATAGTACAAACAGTAGTTTTTAATATGTTGGAAATAATGAGAGCCTGTGAGTAGAAAATAATGAGAGCCTGTGAGTAAAGTCAAGAATTCTACCTGAAATCAGGTGAGCGTTGAAGCTTCTCGTTTCTTCGACATGCATTGACCTCAGTTTCCTAATTGTGACGCGTACCAGAAAAGTAAAGGATTCCTTTGCCACTATCGTGGTGTTTACAGTCTGGGTGGAGCATTCCAGGATAATTCCCATAATAAAGTCATCTACCACACGAAATTCGGACTGACACTGTTTTCGTATAAGACGGGGACGAAGAACATGTTCAGGGTATGCATATTTTCTTTTACTTTTACCAGATATAAATAAAACGTGTAATAAAATGTTTTTTAAACGATAGTAAGTCAGTTACTAAAGACATCCCATTAGGTAAGATAAAACAGTTGACAATATAAGAAAATAGGTAAGATTAAAACAATACAGAGTAAAATCGAAAAATGTAAGGATTAATTGTGACAAGAAATGTGCAAATCGATTCGGGTTAATGAGTGCAAAATAACAAAGTAAAGTGTGAAGACAGTAAACATTAAATTTGGAGGATTTAACACAGTTGCATGAATTAGATTTTAAACTTTAGTGGTCACAGCTAAAAGCTAAGGGAACGTCGCCAGGGCTGGAATTCAACGGAAATTCGTCTGCTAAACGAAAACAAAAGACGACCGACGGATGGTGACGTCACCGGATTTTTTTTCGAAGGTCGTATTTTTGTTATTTTGCATGGCTACAGATGGCTTGGTGTAAATGAAAAGTTTTAAGAACATTATTTAGATATTTTCCATGTTCAAGTAAATAAAACATGAAAATTGCTGAAACCATCCTGGTATGAACTGATAATGCGGCAGACATTGCGTCATCGCGGCGGAAATTTCATCCGATGTCGCTTCATCTAGCAAGACATTGTCAAAAGCAGAGCTACAGTCCCATGTGACTTTACACCTTCAGCCCTACAACACACTCACTATGAATAGTCGTATACTTTTTAGATTTATCAAGTTTACAGGTTCAACGTCGTATTTTCTTAAGTTATACATCTAATACATTTTCTATATACAGATGCGGGTGTATTTTATGTTGTTAAATGTTACATTATTGGCTTGGTAATGCATTTATTGTGTATTGCTTTATGCAGTGCAATAAACAGGAAAGTAACACAGGGAATTTTATAATCACCAGATTCTAATCCTACGCACCGTAACTATTCTAATATTCATTCGTTTATGATAGTGTATGATCCAATTTTATTATTTATATCCGTTTTCTTTATCATCTGAGGTTTATACATCGGCAAAAATACTGCTACGGAAAAACGATCAGCCCTGAACGCCGCAATTAAATATAACATGAACACCCAAAGTTAACAAACAGTTGCCAATTAGTAATTAAATCATTTAAAGAATGAGGCGATTCAACAACATCAAGTTGAATAGAAATAAATATGATGCAGATAATTCCCTGACGTAAATCTAACCATGAAAGTGAAATACACAAACTATTATATCAATATGACTTTATGGATAGATGACTGTACAATAAACAACAGTGAAATCTTCATCAAAACAAATTAAATAAAACAAATGATAAAACATAAATTCATGATTTAAACTGAATACAGACATGAAACGCTGAATGTGGATATCTCGAAATTAATATATATAACTAATAACGGGTATCAAATGTGCAACAAACGTGTCATTCCCCGAGTGCGTGTGTGTGTGGATTCTTGAGACAGAAGACGCGAGACACAAGAAAATTGTAAAGACGGGGAGATGATATGACAGACGGGATGAGGATTCTTAAGATGGCGAGGGGGATGCATGAGACGAGGAGAGGATTCTTGAGACTGGGAGAGGAAGCGAAAGATAGTAAGAGGATTCCTAAGACTGGGAGAGGACGCGAGAGAGAATGAGAGGATTCCTAAGACTGGGAGAGGACGCGAGAGAGAATGAGAGGATTCCTACGACTAGGAGCAGATTCTTAAGGCAAGGAGAGGACGTAAGAAACAGGGAAAAGATTAAGACAAGGAGAGGATGTGAGAGACGGGAGAAGATTCTTAATTAAGACGAAAAAAAGGACGCACAGAGACAGGGAGAGGATGCGAGAAGCAATGAGATTTTGAAAACGAGAATAGGACACGGGGGGTCTGAAAATGAGGAAGGATCCGAGAGACAAGGAGAGGATATCTGATATGAGGATAAAATGCGTGGGACGGGAAAAGATTCTTAAGACTGGGAAGAATGCGTAAGACAGGGAGAGGACGTGAGAGATAGGGAGAAACGGGAAGGGGTCTGAGACGAGGCGTAACGCGAGAGACTAAGAGAAGACACAGAGAGACTGGAAGAGGATGCGAGGATTTTGAAAACGAGGATAGGCACGGGGGGGGGTCTGGAAATGAGGAAAGAATCCGAGACAAAAAGGATTCTTAAGACCAGGAGAAAATGCGTGAGACGCGGAGAGGATTCGTGAGACAGGGGAAAGATTCTTCAGACGAGGAAGGATGCGTAGGACAGGGAGGAGACGCGAGAGATGGGGATAGGCTTCTAAAGACGGGGAAATGATGCGGGAGACAGAGAGAGGGAGCGAGAGACGGGAAGAGGATGCAGAGAGACGGGGAGATGATGCGAGAGATGGGGAGTGGATGCGAGAGGTAATGAGGGGATTTTGAAAACGAGGATAGGACACGGGTGAGGTGTCGAAAATGCGGAAAGGATCCGAGAGACAAGGAGAAAATACGCGAGACGGAGAAAGGATTCGTGAGATGAGGAAATGAAGCGTGAAATGGGGAGAAGACGCGAGGTATGAGGAAACGATTCTTAATTCAGGGAGATGACGCGAGAGTTAGGGAGAGGCTTCTTAAGACGGAGAGAAAATGCGTAAGATCGAAAAGAGGATTGAGACGAGGAGCGGACATGAGAGACGAAGGAAGGATTCTTAAGACGGGAGGGGGAGAAAAATGAGTGAGCTGGGAACTTACATCAAACTCAGAGAAGATTCGTGCGAGGCGGGACTAACTATTGGGATAAATGAAAGGGCTGTAAGTAACACGATACAAAAGTCGGAGGATTTGGGGGGATAGAAGAGATATTCAGGATTAACCGGCCAGCCTGTTTTTTTTTTTCACACACTAAGAACTCTGATGTTCACGCTCAGGGTCTTAGGTATTTACCTCAATGAACATAATTATCCAAGTGTTTGGGAAATTAGTAAAATTAGGTTGTATAAGCAAGATTCAAGGTTGGGTAATGCATTCACCCAAGGTACAGATAAACAACCTTCTGCTTAATCTGAAAAGTTTAGAGCATTTCCTGCCATTACTACCACTTCTGCAATGTGAATCTTTAGTAATATGTGCTGCTTTTACTCACACACACTTATACTCCTACTCGTACTTGCATTCACATACACACGCACGCACGCACACGCACGCACGCACGCACGCACGCGCGCACACGCACGCACGCGCGCACACGCACGCACGCACGCACGCACGCACGCACACGCACGCACGCACGCACGCACGCACGCGCGCACACACACACACAAACGAAAATGTTGGCAAATGTACACTAGATTCTTCTTGATAACTTAATATAAGTAAATCTTGGCTTGCACTTTAAAAAAGAATAAAAATGTGTAGACACAAAGACACACATTGGCCTTGAACTTTTTTTTTTTTTTTTTTTTTTTTTTTTTTTAGAAGAAACACACAGGAAAACCACACTGTTTCTTTTGATAACAGGTAAAGTTGTCCACATATTAATCAACTCCCACATATAACTCATCACCTTATCTTGATGTATGTTTGTTGACTCAAGTAATAGGCAAAAAATTCTCCAGATCCTTTTTTATTCTTTAATTAAACTCTTGGGAATCTAAAGCTCTCAGATGCTGCCTGTACATGTGTGTAAATTAAAATGCCAAATCACTTTTCATTTTCTTTAATACATTTGGTCACATAAATTATATTGTATCCTAGATGCGGTTTAAATGCTGAAGTATAAAAAGTAATCAGGAAACACATCTTTTTCTTATGTAAAAACATCAAGTCGTAATTTTCCTTCGTTCTCTACAAAGTATGTCATGTCTGCCAGCGTCTGCTCCACCATGGCCTCCTCACAACGCTCATGCATCTGTTGAGTAAAATGAAAGATATGTGAATGTGAAATAAATTAAATTAGAACAATCATCATAAAAAGTAATATTTGATTCATCTCTAAAAGAAAGGTTAAATCATCAAGACATATTCTTTGTCTGCTAATATATAAACATATACTAATAAAGCCACTGGCAGTAATTACACTACTTTATCATAACTGGTCAAAAGGATTAAAAAGAGATATGAGAACAGATTTATGGCTGATGCAGTCACTAAAAACTATATTTGTAAAAATTCCCAAATATCAATGAATAACAGCAGATGTTAACTATAGAGTTATCTACTTTTTATATAAATATATCAAAAACAAATATTAAATTTTTAATGGACTCCCATTCAAATCCAATTCAGAACTCTAAAGCTAAAAGCTAAAAAAACAACAATAGAAACACTCACCCCTCTGAATTCTGGTTCCTTAGGTGGATGCTTGAAATCAGGTCCAAAGTTGACAGAGACTGTAATATTTCGATATAGGGACACAGCTGGATAATATGTACCACCATAGATGTCTTGGAAAGCCTCACCTATACATTTGCCATTTCTGTAAAATAAAATAAGCCAGAGTTATGGTAAATATATTTTGGTGGTAATAAAATCAAATTTTAAACAAATAAACAATCACAAAAACACAAATATATACACCCTTATCTTGCTTATTATGAAACCTCACATGCTTATGATTGTCTGATTATATAATGGTTTTGGTATTTTGATTTAATTTTTTTCACAAACTAATTTTGATAGAAAACTAACTATCCATGTGATGATATCTAAAACTTATGTATAAATACTGTCTTATTTTTTGAAAATGAACTTCTCTAATAACCCAAAAGCCGCAACAAATATGAAAAATTATTCTTAAAATCTATTAAAGATGATAAACTACAGATGCAAGCCCTTGACTCAAAACACAAACATTTTTGTGATGAGTATTTCTATAAGGCTCAAACTTATTAACAGCTGATTAAACTAAGTACAGAAATCTTCAGAATCTTAACAGGAGATATGTTTAAAGATATTGCCGGGTTTTTTATACAGATATCAAAATCAGTTCACCATAAAACTACTACAACTGCATTTATGTAATTTGAAGTTTCATGATTCTTGCATTTCAGCATAATTCTTAGTCATGTTATGATAGTTACAGATCTTGCAAAACATACATTTTCTGCACCATGAACAAGGTAAATATACTAAGAATCGCTAATAAGCTGACACGGTATACTGTCAATTACCGATTATGTTTTTACTAATGCAAATACTTTATCTGTTAGTGAACTACACATATATCACTATTAAATCCTACTACTTTTGATGTATATGATGGTTGTAGATTAACTTTGAATGTTCCTTCTTTTACTAGTATAAAGCAGACTTGTGGGGAAAGTTTAAATACTACAAAATAACTGTCCTTCCCTCATTTCTTTTACGTATATATGTATTTCCTCAATGTTTCATTTATATACAATATATCTGGGACATTTCAATGAAGTGTGCTTGTAATTTAGCTATAGACATATAAAAAAGCAATATCATATACATAGAAGTAACCAACAAAGAAAGCTGTAAGGAACTGGATCAAAAGTCTGATGTAGCTACATAAGGAATATGGATTAACCCATCATTTATGATTTGTAGAATAGATGATGTTGAAATCTACATTTTCTTACTTTTAGAGCATACGGTGTGAACAGAGAATAAACCTATTGTTCCTGACACAAACACAGCTTTTCACTGTGGTAAAAAATCTTTCATCACATTTCCCTTGTACAAAAACATCATCAACTTACTTGAAGAACAGAATTTTGGATCCTTTGAGAGCTTTGAGGTTTTTGATAGCCTCAGGAAGGTCATCTTTATCCTCATAATACAGGTGGGAGCGAAACTTGACCAAAGGCTGGGGGGAGATATTGGCTTTGTTAGCAGAGAAAGTATAGACTGAGTGCGTTCCATTTGGCAGTACTAATGTATCATCATTCATATAGTTCAATAGCTTCTTCTATGGACTTGGTTTATCAGTATATATCACTTTAAAAAAAATCCCTTTGCTGTGGGAAAACCAAAGAAATGTAACCAAGAAAAGTCTTCATACACAGTAAACTGACAATGTGTTAAAAAAATCCTTATATTCACCATGCAAGTAGCACTATGAAAAATAAGCATGGAAAAAATGTCAACAGTAATTGTGGATCCCATAAATATTTAATTTGATACTAGGTGTAACTCCTACCTTATCTTTATAAGTGGGAGGAAAGCGGGAAACAGGATTTTTCTCTGGTAACTTTATCATGATTCCCAATACGTCCCCCTCTGTGAAGCCTGTGTCTGCGTAGTGCTTCCCTCTTGACTCATGGAAAACTGTTCCTTTTCTGGAAAAATGTGGGACACCTTCAGCAATAGCATGTTTAACTAAATATGAAAAACTATATTTTTCATTTCCAAAGATTTCATTTCCTCTGTCCAAATATCATACTTTATTCACAGAGACTACCAACTAAATAAATAAATACAGCTGGATGAAAAAACAGCGACAAAATCATTTCTAATGCTTTACACTAAACTGAAACTGGGGCATGATGTAATGGAAGGCAGCAGATGGGGGAAAAACCTTATCTATTCAAAGACCTTCAAAAAAATGGGATCTCCTAACTCACCTTGATCTCCAGGAATAACCAAACTTATCATAGCCAAGAGGTGCCTGGAGGTTGGCAAGCTGCTGGCACCATCCAAGCCGCGTGTGAGAGCCTTCAGGTTGGTCTTCTATTGTGCACTCCCAGTACCAGGTTCCTCGGCTCACTCCTGCCAGATGCAACATAACACATTTTGAATTCCTCTGGAGAGGGAAAAGCTTACCATACTTACAGAGGTTAAGGATGCTGCCAATCACTAGTTATATTCATCCTTAAGAAATAATAACCTATATACTAATGACTCTAGAAATATATAACAATATTGACATTTCCAAGAAATTATATAAATACATAAGACATTCATTCATTCATTCATTCAGGCAGACATTCATGTGTTTATAAAAATAGTCAATGAAATAGTAGCTTACAATAGCATATGAACCGTCAATTAACTAAACTGTACCCTTACATATATGCATTACCTAGCTACTGCAACAAATTTTATATTACAAAAAGAAAGGAAAAGAAAAACGGACAAGACAAGACAAAAAACAACGCTGATTTCAATCAAGTCCACATGTTCCCTGGGTAATCTGACCTACTGTGTAGTGGGCCACTGCTGGCCAAAAATGGGAAACCATATAATTTTACAATTAGCGCTATTTTATTGAGAATTGCTATCTCAGATTTGTTTTCACAGTCTGACCAGTCTGTGTTGTAGACAGGACAATCAGTTGGGGAGACGGAAACAATTCCCATACAAGTGAGGATGGGCAGGAATAGGTTTGCCAATGAAGTCAAGTCTGGGTAAATAGTGCACAAGATTGGGACTCAGATATAACTGTGACATGGCATGAGCGATCAGAGCAACTGCAAAAGGAAATTTTGCCTACTTGTTTTGGGAGACATTGTTGGAACAGAAGGGCATTATCAGAGCAAGAGGCTGTAGGAGGAATCACAAAGAATCAATCCCACTTGGCTGAGCCAAAACGAGTACTCAAAAGGATTGCAGAGGTGGAAGCAGTAGGACAAAGGCAGGACGAAGATGAGGTTGTGTGGAGTGAGGTAGTACTGTGGGGAGGAAGAAGACAATAAGGATGAAGAGTAGTAATACAGGGGTATGGGGGTAGACAAAGAAGACTGTGCAGTAAGAGATGGAGTAGGCTGCGTAATGTCCTGGGTGGATAATTGGGAATGGGTAGAGTTGACAGCAAACATCAAGGAGGGGGTAGTAGTATCAGTGGTCAGGGCTGTGGTCAAAGGCGAGGCAGGGGTCAGAAAATCTGAGAAATCAAGCTTAGATAGGGTAGCTGATGAAGGGGCTAGCCTTAATGCCCCTAATAAGGATAAATGATCTTCATTATTGGCAATGGTGAGCATGAAATAAGGGACCCCATGAGAGGTAAGGGCTTGGTGATTAATTAAGGGGATACTGTGCCTACAGCTCCCAGAGGCTGTTCAGGACTGACACAAAGCCAGCCTTTCATCTTTTCAGTACAGCCCTCACACCTTAGGAAGTGGACAGAAGAGGATGAAGAAGAGAAGGCAAAGGAATGGGGAGAAGGAAAGACCATGCAAAATTAGTTGAGGCAAGGGCTGAGGTCCAAGGTAGGGGTGATCCCCTACCTTGGGCCTCAGTCTCCTAAGCCTCTCCACAAAAAGAAGAAGCAAGGGGGGGGGGTCATGTAAGTTATTTTCTTAATAAAGAATAGTTGAAGTTTATAAAGAACTCTATTTCAAACCAGTTTTGACAGAAAAAATGGACCATCTTTTTTTGTTAGCAAACATAAAAAAAATATTATTCCTTGAAGTTGCTCTTTATTTATTCTTACGTTTTCATTAAAATATTCATATATAATAAAGTATAAAATAAATTAATTTCCCTTTTAAATGTGTAAATGTTTCAACTTTTCTAAATTCTACTTCCATAAAAAACAGTTTACTATTCTGAGAAACAATTGCTAAAATCCCATCATTCTGGGTCACTGAATGATACTGCTTATAAAGATAAAAATGTATATATTTTTTTCTCCAAATGAAAGTTATTCCATACAGTACTTTTCACTGAACCACAGGATACAGAGATGGGGTTTCCCATCATAAGTAACACAAAATGTTGACACTATTCTAACTTTGTTACACACTTTCTTGTGTCCTTCATTTAGTGAGATTTTCTAATAGCAGCCTTGACATCTTTTTTTTTTTCAAACCTCATCTAACTCAGTGAGTGAGTGCAAGGACATATGTCCACTCAAAACACTTGGACTTCTTCAGGTGGCTGACCTATCAAAAATGCACCAGAAATGCTCTAAATTGTCAAACTGGCATATCCTACTAAGGAAAGTATTTTCAGTATAATACCCAAGCATTTACAACTATGATTCTAGTATAAGCTTCCAAAGCTAACTTTTTGTACCAGTTATATATATATATATATATATATATATATATATATATATATATATATATATATATATATATATATATATATATATATACACAGTGGGAATTGATGGTGCGCAAAGTGCACAAAATATATATTCATTCCCCAGCCAATATTTGTGGTACATTACACAGTCAAAAGACAATTTTACAGCACAATGTGTGCTACCTATAAGTCATGCATTTTAACCGTGACTCCTTGGCCATAGAGGAACAAAATAAGCCTGGTTTCATGATGTTGACTGGTGTCAAACTGGCGTGGTAAAGTTTTGAAACTGGAAGAGCGCCACCTCTAGAGAGGATGCCATTTCCATGCAGCGTTCGGTATTAATGGCCGCTGTGACTGGCGGCGCAGGTTGTATTACATAAAATTGAAAATTACAAAAAAACAAGATGCAGATAACCAAATGTTCCACATTTCCCCCCCCTTGCACTAAGTTATTTACTACATACAGAGATGATATGGAGTCTGTGCAAGGAAAATAAGCTATTGTCATCTGGATAAAGCAAATCAAATGACAAATATGGACATTGGAAAATAGCGATAAAGCTAAAAAAAATTTTACAAAGGGGAGGCACAGAGTCTTGTCCCCACTCGTGGGTGTTTGTGCATGCCCGGCCTATGCACCACATGCCTGGGATGTTGGCTACTCACTTAACCCACTACTGTGATTTCAATGATGTAACCAGATCCAACAGGTTAATAACATATTGATGGCAGCTCCCCCAATTCCCCTTACCATTTTGCTCCAAGATGATTTTCATATATTATATATAAAAGGTTGTTAAAAAATAAATGTTATACTGAATCTGCCTAACTTGAGTACTATAGTCCTTTAAACACACAGGATTAAAGATTTTAGTATATGTAAGTCTGTGTCTGTTATTGCCAACTTTCTCAATACTAGAGAAAATAGATATCATTAGAAAAGAAGATTGTTTGGCATAATAAACTATACCACCCCATATATGGTTGTTTTCAGAAAATAATCATATAACGTGTAGCACTATTAAAAGAAGGTGATTTCAGCATTGCATAAAAACTAATGATAGCTAATTTCATCCTTGTCTTCATAAAACTTTTACATGAGAAACCCTAAATATACCGATTAGTATAAAAAATAAAAGTAAATCTACTCTTAGCAACCTTTAATTTCTATCAGTAACTAGCCATTACCAAAAGACTAAATGAACTTGAAAACACTTTGGGTTTTACTTATACAAAAATCAAAGTTGGTTCCATACCCTTGTGGGAATAAGGAAAGAATAAGCTTGAGATTAAACCTAACCTATTCACCAGAGATGGCATGTAATAGTGTATTGGTTACATTATCATTTTGCAATCGTGCTGTTAGTGGATGGTAACTCAAGCCATTCTTAGAACATGAACATTTAGAAGAACAATAAACATAGTTGCAATATGACTGAAGTCATAATGGCATAAAGTGATGTCATGGCATAATTTTTCTGCACTGTGGATGGCATGTTGTGATGCCATGGTGCATTTGGTTGCACCATGGCTGGTATTTAATGGTGCACTGTAAATGGTGTCAAATGATACCATGGCGCAATTCAGCCATATGGTATAACTTTTCATATATCAGACACTGTGGATGGCATGCAGCAAGGCCATGGTGAAATCCTAGCATTTAGTAGTATCATAGTCATTACAGGGATTACATTTTTCACTACTACCTATCAGATGTTCCTCCAAACTTTATTTTTTTTGTTACTTTTGGTAATAATAAGCAAATAAACCATAAAATGTGTTTAAACTACTAAACTATCCTGTTTGGCTAGTCAAACAGGCACTGTGTAATAACAGGGCCATCACTTGGGCCAGACAGTTGTTTAGACATACCATGGTGCATGTATTAAGTCACAAAAAATACATTTTGCCTTGTGATTATGAAAATCAAAGTATGATTAAAAGAAATATATAAATTGAAGAATGAGTAAATAGCAAATAAAAAGAATAACACAATGAGTACCTTACTAAATAAGTGAACTTTGTTTCTACAAACCATGAGTTGCTCTGATGAGGCAGTATCCCTTGTCTCCTGTTACTGCCAGCCGGTCATCAGCAGTACGGAGTTGAGGTGCACGGTCATGGAGGGCCAGAAGGACAGCGCCTGGACTAAGAGCCCGGTAAAGCCACCCAGGAATAGGTTTGCCTGCCCAGTCACTACTCTCATCAAACTCTTGTCTGCAAAGTTCCAGTGTATAAACTGTATGTTTTTCTTGTATCATAACTGAAGCTATTGATATGCAAAGGAAAAATCCACATATAAAATACAAATACACATACTTGCTAATGCACTGACAATTGCACTTCAGCCTGTAGAAGTATGGGCCTTTCTATTCAGATGCAAAATACCCATCAATCCAAAGTATCTCTATGCTATTTCAATCCCTTGACACTCTTACCTAAAGGGTGCATGAGGATCTGGCTCTGCAAGAATGTATCTATAACCATCTCTGTTGAAAGGGTGGTCAACAGGGTATCCATGTAACTTGGGCGCAGGCATGTCCCCTCGTGCTTTCTTGTTGCCGGCAGTTGTGTCTGGCATTTTTCGCTTAGCTCCCCGCCCCTTGACACTTGTCTGCTGTTGAGCTGTGTGAAAGGAACCATCAACGTGAAAGCTGTATTAGTGCAGCTTCATAATCATGCTACTTCAATCCCTGGAGTAATCAAATATTCAATGTAAAAACATATCAATTTCTTTTTAAGTATTCATAACTGTTAGTTTTGGTTAAGAGCTTTAATGCAGTGGCAATCAAGCAAATAATAAATAGATTGACTTGTGAGGAAAAAGACAATTAACCATACTGCATTACTTCACAAAACAGCTTTGAGTGTGCTAGAAACTGACATGCACCTGAATGCAAACATGCAATAACATCAGCGATGATTACACTAAAATATTTCTTGCCGTCTCTGCCCAGTTATGAAATCAATTAAAGCGCAAATTAATAATACCCATTGTCAAACCTATCAAACATGTTAATGATAAAAAGCAATACATATTAGGGTGTTAATCCATCTATTATTCAGAAAATATCTAATAATCATTGTTCTAGTGAAAAGGGCAATTTCATGTAGGACTTGAAGGACACTTTTCCAAAAAGTGTGTCATCACCCCCATAATATCCCAAATTCCCAGGAAAATAAGCAGGTTTATGAAAATCACAAAATCAAACTGTAAAGAGGCCCATTCTATTATGATCTTCACAGTCACCTTACCCCAGGAATCTGAAACCAAATAATGAAAATAATTTCTTGTATTTACCATTTAGCAGCTCCTGTGCCTACTTCTAGTGAAAGATGCAAGATAATATGATAACATTCTCTCCTTTACAAGATGCTCTTTGATACATATTTAAACTACACATCATCTACTTGAAAAATTTATGATAACCAAACTGACTATGAAATAACATTACATGCACATGGCAGGGTATGATCAAGCTACCATAATACTGACTGTACAAAGACTTCATAACATTGATGCAAACAATGAAAAAAGCATCTACCGTTAATTATCAGCAATGTTTAACTGACTAAGGGGAAAATTATACAGACATATGGAAATATAATTAATACTACATATAGTTACTTAGCTGATTAGTTTCATGAACTTTCTTTTCTACAAGGCATTCTGAATATATTCTACCCTTGTGTCTGAAAACACTTGTGCCCAAAACACACACACACATATGAATTCAAACATTCTTGTAAACATATGATGAAGTATTTACTTATGCAAACACACACACATTACATTAAACATCAATAATTAAGTATATAAAGACACTCTTAGGCATCAATGAGTTATAGGTGAACAAATCTCATGTCACCTAGTATTCTGTGGTGAACCAAAGACCAAACCTGTGCTTATCCAACAAACTGTACTCACGTATAATAACATAAAAAAATAAAGTGTCAAAGGCAACACTCTTTTCCCTATTGTGCATACAGGTGCTCACATCTAACAATTGTTGTAAAAGAATAAAGTTATATTATCCCAAACAACAAAAATAAATAAATAAATAAATAATAATAAAAGCTAATAAACACATCAATCATGCATGCATCCATGTATTAATTTCCTCACATCTACATAAGTGTGCCCATCTCAAAATCTCTTCTCACACCTCAACAGAAGCCACTTTAACTAGTCAAAAGAGAGACAGATGCCAACACTCAAAAATCAGCAAAAAGGTGTCAAAGTTTCCTGATTAAAATTCCTGCCAGCTTTTGATACAAAAATCCTTCTGTGCCATTTTCTATGCTAACATCAGAAATATGGCCTAAAATCAAGTAAATGCAGAATGTGAGTGGGGGGGGGGGGGTAATTTTTGGCAGCATTCAATTTGTTGATAAAAGAAATAGAGAAAAGGGTAATTGAGAGAAAAGAAAAACATGAAAAAAGAATAAAAAAGCAGAACCCCAACAGATTGCATGCTTTGAATGTGGTGCAGTGAAATAAATCACATGCAGGAAATTAAAAACTCAAAAAATGAAAAAATGAAAAATAAGAAAGAAGCAGGAAAGAAAAATAGATAAGAAGAAATCCAAAAAGCAAAGATAGAATGACCAAATGTTTTAAGGCAATGGTAAGGTTGATATATCTAATTGCCCTTCATATACAAAAAGATAACTTGTTTATAAAAGATACAACTTATTAATATGTCTTAAGATTCTAGACATTATTTAAATAATTCTGTTGATCTGTACAGACATATCAAATCAAAATGTGTTCCTAAATGAAAAACAGTAGACCACAATTTGTAAATCTGTATTATGAAACAATATCTTGTACAACAGTAAAATGTCAATGCCATAAATAATTCCAAACTCCAAAATATAATCAAACTGACAAAGCAATTTAATAGCAGACCAGTTGATTACAGAAATTATTACAGAAATAAAATAGGCAAGGATCAATAGATAAGTATATATATCTGAGTGAACAATGCCGACAACTGATAAAAAACAATAATGTGGAATAAAGAAAAATATATACAAGTACAAGCTAAAAAGAATAATAAACAAATATCACAGACTAAGAAAGTAAACACAACAAGGAATACATGAAATACAATAAAGATGTAAAAAAAAAAAAAAAAAAAAAAAAAAAAAAAAAAAAAAAAAAAAAAAAAAAAAAAAAAAAACAAAGAAGTTTATAGAATTCTTAAAAGATACAACACAAATATAAAACTAATACAGTAAAAAAAAACTAAATAAATCAAAATAATATTGGTGGCAATAGCAGTCATGATACAAATGAAAAGATAAAAACAAGTAATCCTCAGCACAAAAGTCATTGTCAGTTTAATGTATATTCAGCAATTCTGTTCCCACTTTTGGCTGATGTATAATAACAACTGACACAATACATTAGAAAGCTTGCCATAACCCAATTGCTGTAGGTGGCAATCCTTTCTATTATGTTCTATTAGCTGAAATTAGTTATCACATAAAAGCAAGAATGGGATTGTACAGGTGAAATACTGCAGCAAAATTTCAGAGTGCACCATGCTATTCCCAAAGCTTTTGTAGGTATGAATAATCACCTACTTCCTGGCAATTCTATTACTTCAAGGGCAATTACATATATTAAACACAACAGTATCAAAAGTAAGTATAAGATATCCAAAAACAAGGAACAAAAACATGAGTCTCTAAAAATAAAGAAATAAAAAATTGATCTGAGCTCTGTAACATGAAGCATAATACCAGTATGTAATCTAGCTTGCAAATAGAACAATACGAATGAGCTCTACATTCATCAACTCATTTTCACTAACTCTAAACAACATAAATCAACCATCTACTACAGCCATGACCACAGAAGCTCCCTCAGTAAGCTCTCCAAATATTACACCCATTAAGTTTATGCACAAGCATAGACAACATAAAGATACAAGTAAGCATCTTACCGGCTCCTGGTGACCCCTCTCACCCGCTCACACACCAAGTGTTTACAAAAGGCTGGTTGTTGAACTTTAATAGTTAGAAAAAAGGAAAAAAAGAAAAACAAAAGAAAAAGGATGGACAGGGAATGGAGCCTTCAAATCTACAGCCTCCTTTATCCATTCCTTTTTTCCCTCTGACGACAAAGACATGTTCACAACCGTGTGGCTCTCATGAGGTCAGGTCAGAACTGCAAACATTTGTTTCTCCACATCAGAGTAAAAAATATCAAAGCTCTGAGGATCCAAGATGAGCCATAATTCTGTTTGTATTTATTGTGAACATAATAAGCTGAGGAAATCAATCAATGATATTGGAAGCATTAGTCCTCAAACTTCACATTATTCAACTGAAGTTTTCCACTTCCATCAAAGCTAACATTAGAAGTCTGTGTGATCCTAGTCATGCTGTTAAACATCTAAGTATCAGGATATAAACATCAGAAAACATTTAGTGAACACAAACTAGAGTTAGAACATTCAAGCATCAACACATATTTTATCAACTTAATTAGAATCTGTATATTCATTAGTCTATATAAGATAGAATAGAAAGTGGGGGAACAATTACATGGCTGTTCAGTAATGTTGAATGACTTCCCAACAATGCAACTTCCTTAGAGCCAGAAAAGAAAGTACTGGTATATATTTTCTAGTATTTACAACATATTTTCCATAATTTTCTTTGACTGTATTTAATACAAAAATTATTATAATATCAGCTATTTTTCAAATACATCTTTTCTATATATGAATGATGGCATCCTCTCTAGACTTCTAATGCCTTTTCTTATATAACTGTAAGGGTAACATTACTTTTTTCTATTATCATACTATGATCAGAGATTAATTCATATCTATATACAGAATCTTTATATATATAAACTTATTTACAAAATGACTAATATAGATAAATAAATAAATAAATAAATAAATATAATATATACATATAATTTATATGCGTATATATGTATATATACATATAATATATATATATATATATATATATATATATATATATATATATATATATATATATATATATATATAAAGAAATCTTGTAAAATTATCCTGATATAAAAAAATACATGGATGAATAAAGTATTTGACCTTTATTACATATATATTTCTGGCTTCCATCAAGCCGATGCTCTTAAGTTTCAGCTCATTGACTCTCCATGTGCTGCATTCTGCTTCATCATTTGTCACTTTTGGCAAAATTGTGAAACTGCTTAAGACTGCTCTGACTATCTCTGGATTTTTTCTTTTAATGGTTGTTTCATTCACTGCAAAATTCTTTGTAAATATAGATAACAATCAGATGTCCTGGGTGCTTGGCTACATATATAGATTAAAATCCATTGCCTGATGGAAAACTTGTAGCTCAGAATTATTCTTCCAACATTACTATACACACTGATAAACACTTAACATTAGCATTTGATAATATATGAAACTCCATAAACAATTATGCATATAACCATGCATAACAGCTCATATCTGTGTCACAATGCCTGGATAACAGTGTCTATTGTCGATGGTAGACAAAGACCCAAACACTTATGGTCATGGTAATTGTAGGAAATTTTATGCAGATTTACGGGGGTTCATTCCAATAAATGTAACTTTTCCAGCTGGTTATACAAATCAACATGTTCAAATTCAAGCTGTTTGGTTCTCAATGTCCTTGCTTTTATTAGTTTAAGAAGAACAATCATTTGTATAAACATTACATCTTGCAGTAAGTTTATATCTAATAACAAGCAACTCCCAATCAAAAGGCTACATCTGGCCCTCTACAAGACAACTCTTTTTACACAATCAGTCCAAAGTCCTGGACAGATAATACCTACATCCAATAAAACTAACAAAATGCCAGACAGCTGAAGCAGTGAAACAAGCACTCCAAATACTGATCCCTTTTACCAAGCACATGAAAAAGTAAACACAATACAAAAAGATTGGTCTTTTTGGTGTCTTTCAATGACTTGACTGACACATTCCAAGATAACGGTTTCATTAAGCCAGCACGGAAAGCCTTGTCTCGCTGGATCCAGCATAAGCAATTAAGTGTCTGCTGAGTGATACATGATTCATTAATGCTCAGGGTGTTAAACTAGTTTGTCATATGGATAATTTGCATCATGGAGAGAGCTTTTGATTACTATTTTTTCTAAGTGATCTTTAAAATTTCATCATACAGTCATTATCCAAAATAATTCCACCCAAACTCCTGTCACTGTTTCACATTGCTCTTTTCATATCTATCTTCAGAAATTAAGATTGAATAGATTTTGAAAAGATTAAAATCTATATATAAAAAAAGAATTGGGAATTGTTACCAATAATGAACTCCCTAACATTCATTTAACAATTTTTTTTTTTTCAAATAATCTTTATTTCTATAGTTTTCTCTTCTATGCTCCATGTCTTTTCAATACGCCTCAAAACACATCCTGCCTACCCTCCCCACCCTTTCCTAGTCTTAATGATCTGAGTTTAACACCCTATGGAGGCAAAGCCATCAGAGATACAGGGTGCTTGACATGAGGGGTGAATTTTGGTGGTGGCAATAGGGTCAGAGGGGGGATTATATACGTACAGGAGCCGGAGAGAGGGGACCTCCACCCACCAGGGGTGTCTGCTATGGGCCGAATCAGCGTCAAGTCCGAGGTGAGCAAACCAAAGAAAGGGTGGTGTGGGCCTGGCTCCCCACTCTTCCTTGTTTCTTCTACAGCAAAAGAGGAATCTACCTCTTTCATCAGAATTCTCTGCAACTGTATTAAGAAATAGCTTACATCAATTATTTTCTTTTAATGCAAAAAACAAAAAACCTGAATAATCACCTCTGGAAAAGTAAGGTACAGCTTTATATGAACCAAACCAGATACATCAACTTCAGCATTCCTGGAACCAGAAATTCATAAAATGTCCTCCTTGTCATTTTAATTCAGGCCTATCATGGTAAAAAGAAAAGCAAACTTACAGTAGCATGCCAAGACTGAGTGGTACGTCGTGCTGCAGTGGTCAGGGCCTCCCAATGTTGTTCCAGGAAGGGAATGATGTCTCTCTGTAGACTAAAAAGGTAAGGTCCTGATCGACTTTCCTTTTCCTTAGCCATAGCTTGTTGCTGTAGGTTTGCCAGGGCTGTTACACACATGTCTCGCAGCTCTGTTTAAAAAGAAAAAAAGAGAAAAAAAAAGATGGTACTAATATGCTATTTCATAAATACTACAAAACTTTCCAAAACATATGGTCCACAGAATCAACAAATATGCATATTCAAATACTGAAAGAAAACTACTAACGGGCTTGTGTCTTCTTGAAGGATTCGACACCATTTGTTGAACAGTTCTTGCATGTAAAGGTGTAGTTTAGCATAAATGGTACCAATTTGCCAAGTTGGTATGTGATACATGATTCATGGAACCAGGAACCACACTGCCAACACATCAGCTCTACGATCACAAGGTTTCGGAGCTTGCCACTGATGGGTAGATAATATAAATAATAATGTTCAATTGTCAAAATTTCTGCCATTATACAAAGTTGATAATTCTATTATCTTCAAACAAAAAGGCTAAACTAAAATTGCATTCATTAAATCATTTTTTTAATAATGTTTGATACAGTACAGAGCACACACACACACACACACACACACACACACACAAAAAAAAAAAAAAAAAAAAAAAAAAAAAAAAAAAAAAAACATTTAAGGAAATTAATGACACAAAGCAAAACAGAAACACCAATCAAAATTCCTAAAAACTAACCAATATCCACATGAAGAGAGGCCACCTTTTTCTCCAAGGTCAACAGTGGCAGATTCAATGACCTCATTGTCATCAGAATCGTAGTCCATGTTGTTTGGATTCTAGGACTGTCCTGTTCCTAAGAGAAGATATCAACAGTTAGAAATCTGTAGATTTTTTTTTTTTTTTTTTTTTTTTTTTTTTTTTTTTTACTAAACCAGTAGTTCTCAAACTGGGTGCCATGGGCAGGGGGGAGGCAGAGAGGAATATGAGAGTTCAGAGTGCCATCACTGAGATGACTTTGGGAAAAATGTAATAAACCAATAACATATCATATAATATAATCTAAGTCTTTTAATTCCAGTAAGAAGTACTTAATTCTAAGCAATTATCAACATTCATCAAAATTGTTTAAAAATAAGTAAAAGGGGCAAAAGAAAAAAATAAAGAAGTTAATTAATGCAGCAATACAACACTCACTGTAACTGCTTCAGCTTTCACCCTATATCAGACTGTGATTTCACAGAGCCATCTCCTGGTATTTACAATTTCCAGATGTTGTTTAATTCATTTAGCAACAATGACTAATCAAAATAGTGTTAGATCAACTATTAGTCATATTGAAAGCTACATTCTGCTAATTTTGCCTGGGTTTCCCAACAAATGATTCAAGTCCTTTCCTGAATATGGCAGGAACATATACCACTAAAGTATGCTATATTGATTGTGATACATCCTGAGGATCTATCATTAAATAAAGATAATTTTCTTACTCTACCTCAGCTGTGGTCCTTAAGCCATATCACTGGTTTACATACAATTACACTTTCCGAGTCTATGTACACCCAAGGCTCTGACTATTATTGGAAATGGAGTTGTATGGTCATAATCAAAGGTATAAACCTGGTCAAGGGAAGTTGGAAAGAGGAATGGAGTTCCTACAGTCAATTGTATCAGAGGGATCTGAAGGAGAAGGAAAAGTGCCAACAGTTAGCCTTAACTACTGAGCTCAAACACGATAAATCTGATGGGGACATGAGGCTTGAGCCCAATCATTATCGGTAAATAAAAAAACACTCTTTATGCTCTTTGACACAATAGCTACAGAGAACCCATGTGCACTAAAGGGTATACACAAGTCAACACTGCTAGTGGTGTGGGAAACAAACACCAAAACTTGGGTCATCTTTTGATATTCTCTTTTATGTTGCGAATTACTTGTCACTCTTCAAGAAAAACAGTAAACAAAACCATCCTTGTGTTGGATAATGCTCTTGCTCATTTATCAAATATCAATGAACTGGGAACATTAATATTATTTTCCAGTCTCATAACACACCACTTCAACAGCCAGGGCTTCATTTCACCTCTCAAGGCTTATTACATCAGGCGGACGCTAGTTTTGATGTTGAGCTTAATTCTGCCAGGGACTTCTGGTGAGCAGTCAACATAAAAAATGCTAGGAGCATGTTATCACTGTATGGGCTGAGGTCATACCTACCACAGAAAGCTAGCCAGGGATGTGCAGGATTTTTCTTTGCTGTGCCTTAAGAGGAAGCTCTCAAGTTCGAAACAATGCTGAATACTAATAGAAGCTTCTAAAGGAAGAGAATCAATAGGCTGGGAAAATTATAATCTTACTTACAGCCTGTTAAGGCGCGGTTCAACTGGCCTTATCTTTGTCTAGGACCAGACTTGTGTCTGAGTGCCTAGCCAGATGTAGTGTTTCAACTGTGAAAAGAACCGCCGTAATAGATAGCACATGCCTCTCACTTGAATAAGTCTTTGCATAGTACTTCTCATTTGAGCAAAATGGAGCACAAGGACTTTTTCTATTTCACTATAGTTTCATGTTTCATGGTGTATATTTTCTTTAAGAAAGAAGCACAAAAAGTTATTTACTGATTCAAAATTATTAAAACTACTCTGAGGGGTCATTGATGTGAGTATAGATCCTCAGTCTCAAATTAGCCATTTCTTGTAGATTTGTTTTTGGTAATAAAAATGATTTTTTAAACTTATTTCTTTATTAAGTCTAAATGTTTTATATAAAATCTCTAACTTTCGTTGACTTTATAGATATCGATAATTTCTTTAAGCGAATTTCAGACAGTTTTTAATTGCATTCTGGAAAGCCCAGAGATACCCGAGGAAAAAGATACTCTTGTTCGTATTATCGCTGGCTCCCCTCAGCCCCCCAAGGTTTTGCACCAAAGTGACCGATTCAGCTGAGATAGCCGCATTTACAGCCAGACCTGCACATACACAAGACCAGTTGAACTGCACCTTTAGTGGTGCAGTGTCAGTCACTGCAGCCTTAACACTTCAGCAAAGGCCAACATACCTCTAATAGGTACATTCTTCCTGGACTGGTTCCCTTCATATTAATATGTTGCTAGTGAGTTTAACAAGCTCTATCTTGGTAGAGTATACATGGTGCAAGGTTGTTGGCTTTTGCTGGAGTGCCAAAAGGTGTAGTGGTTGCCCTAATCTAAAATAAAGCTATTAAAGATGGATTGGTGGGCTTTTTGGCTATTCCCACAGAAAATATTGACTTGCAATGAAAAATAAAACATGATCCATGCTTATAATATCAAAATATATATCTTTTTTGTAAAGTCAAGGTTATCCTATACTAAAAACTACCTGCCACTCTCGTGATAAGAAATCCTTCACATATCCTTGACAACTGTTTAGAATGGTACTGTATGATGCAATGCTGAAGTCTCTGCACTCCATCAGAGATTAATAAACCTTCATCACACACAGTTGTCAAAAGTGAAGTGTAGACCTTTCCAGGCCAATACTCAAAAAACTGCATCTAAAGATGCTGTTCATTATTTAGCCTACCTGCAATAGCAGGGTGTCACAATTTGCTTTAGGTACCAAATCAGCAAGAGTCTTACTTCTGGGTCTGGCATAGGGCTTATGCTGGGAAATTGTACCTTGGTCAAGTGGCCTTTCCCAAATCTGTATGGTATCAAACTTTCTTTAAAGTACCTTTCCTCCTTCAGGGCTAGAATATTTTTCTTTCTATATAACTAAGTGGTTTTGGGGTCACTGCAAATAGGTCTGATAAGGCACTGAAGGGCAGTAAATGGCAGGCATGGAAAGTCACTGGTGTCAAACAGAAGGATCATATCAGATATATTCTTCTTTCTATAAAATGGGAAACAGTGATCATGCCTACAGAAGTTTTACAATAGCTCTCTGAGTTGTCAGATTCTTGAAGAAATGAACATTCATAGACTTTAGAGATTGGCAATCAATACTCTTTGGACTGTATATAATGTGACCCTCATCCCAATACCTTACTTGCAAACCACTCTCTACCAACCCACCTGCCTTATGAAACCCACTGCACAGACAGGTGGAGGTGTTAAGAAAGGGAGCATGTTCAGAAACTCTGGATCATAACAGTACACTGTATGCATTCTACTGCAGACTACAGCAAGTTTGAGGTGGAGTTGAACAGCAAACAGCCAATATGGCAATAGTTTACAGAGTAACTGCACCCCACTGAGACTATCATCCATCTATCCCTCTATCATACATCTAATGGGGCCCTCAAGTGTCCCTCATCCCTTAATAATATTAGAAGATCACACCATACCCTTAATCCTTAACTCTCCAATTATTGGACAGTTTAAGGGAAGGTTGTAAGGGATGGTATCCCAGCTATACAACCAAACTCAATTCCTTATTTATGATAGCTGATGCATTAAAATGACTATAACATAGTAAATAACCTAATAAATCTGATGTAGCACTATCTTTTTCTGGTCTATTATACTAAATATTTCTAAAAATATCATACTACCGCAATACATGGGACAAAATCAAGGTTAATAACAATAGTATCATCCACTCTGAAAGAAAGCTTTCTTATCCCTAGATATTTTTCAATGCTTTACTTTAACCCACTGGATCTGGGTGATGTGATTACCATGTCATAAGAAAATTTGGCAGAGGGCCAGGTGACGGGATATGCCATCATGGAAAAATTTGGCACATCCAAGCATGTGTCTTCGCATTACCCTTAGAACACTAGCAGATAGACAAACCTGAAGCAAACTGTAGCATAGTTAGAGTGCATTTAAAATTGTCTTTATAGATAACATCTGTATGCTCATTACAGACTCATTAATTTCACATGATTTTAGAATTTTATATTGATTTAGAATATTTTGATAAAATAATTGCATTCAGCAAGCAGAATAAGCATCAAAACACATTTCATATAAATACTCAAGCACATTAATCAGAGCTTTCCGAGCATGGTTATTTTTTAACATTTGCCAATCCCCGGAAAAAAAGTTAACAGTCATACCAACTGCTGTTTTCATTGGTCTCTTGTAAAAATGCAACTTGAGAGCTTACCAAGAGAGAGCACTCTTTGATGGTCCTTTAAATATTTGTTGCAATACGGGGATATTTCCTTATTACTCCAGCCAACAAGCCTGGGGCAGTCCTGGGAATCCATCAACATTGCCATATGAAACAAAAATGTTCCTAACCCATGAGCTTCACATCTAAGACCCCTACCCAAATGCTATATTTCCCATATCTGAAAGAGAAATATAGTACAGGGCCTTTTTAAAAGAGTGACAATGATCCTTTGTGACTTTACAACCAAACTGCTCAAAGGCAATTTATGCAGAATTACCATAAAAGTAAATTATTCACTGCAAGGCTGGACTTTGCCTATATGCAGCATTTGTCATGATCTATTTTCTTCATTTCTGATGTTATTCTTATTTTGTGCAGGTCATTTCATATATCATTGAGTATAGTTTTTCCTCTCTTTATGAGTGTCTTTTGATTTTTCCCTTTTTTAGTGGATTCATTATGTAAATATACACTGCCAATATAATTATGCAAAAAAGAAGAAAAAGAAGGGAGAGAAAAAAATCCTGTTCTGGAACCAATTTCCTAAAACAAAATTTTAATATTAGAATAAAGCACATATAACTGCATGAAATAATTCAGATGCAATTGCCCGCCTTTATCTCATCTAATATGTTAGCTCTATATTATTTTCATACACTGCATACTGGCAATAAGTGCATTTCTATATTGATTAATCTTTATGGTATGGAAGCACTAATCTTGGGTAATTTGAAGAAGATATTTTTGTAGAGGACAAAAAGTTGCAGTCATCAGTACAAGAAACAATCTAGACACAAACAGTAATGCCACAAATAAAGGAAAAAGATTGCAGAAAGCACCATTCACAGCCTAAGTCCACTAAATGCTCCTCAGTTTCAGCTCTATCTTGCCATGGATACTGAGGTGAAGACAATGTTAGGACTTAGACTTTTAAATCTGCAATGAATTCCTAGCTAAATAAATGGACATACAAACTTATCTACTGCATGAGTGACACTACCAAAGCACTATCACTTGCTGCATTCAGTGTAATATGCTTGAATCTGTTGTTTTCCATTACAAATGACTGATTCAGGGTATGAGTGAAAATATTCTTAAATGTTTATGAAGTGACCATACCCCTTTGAGACTAAGTCCCTATTACTTCAGCCAACACTCCTAACAATCCACAAACTTCATCCTAAGACCCAAAATCCTTCCTAACCCGAGAGCTTTGTCCCCAGTCCCTAACCTGATTACAGTAGACTTTCTTTCTGTATGGTATTTGTTGTGACTTATTTTCTTTCTTTACTGGTACCTATGCATAAGGACCATGCTATGTGTTTTCAAGGCCCTGATAATGCCAGTTTTACTATACAGTAGTAAAACCTGAATGTTATCCTGTGCCTTGGAGTCTTGTCTTGAAGCCTTTTGTAATAGGTCCTTGCACCGGATCATGGGGTACTATTGACGGGACCACGTGTCCAACCAACAGTTGCACCATGAAACTGGCACACGACCTGTTACTTGCACAATCCTTGATCACTAACTAAGGCTATACATCCACCAGGTTGTCTCTGTACGAGACAGCTCCGGGTGAAGACCTGTGGGATGCCTAGGAAGTCATGGCTCAGGCAGATTGATCAAACCTGTAGTGAGGAGCTCAAGATGAGCAGAGTCCCTGCCTGGTGGATTGCTATGAGGGATCCTCAGAGGTGGAAACAAAGGGTGGATTTGGCCAAGTGCCCCCATCAGTATTATCTTCCAATAACGATGATGAGGATGTAAGAAACTGGAACTATACCCTGACTTGTTGACTTGTGATATTAGTACATTATACGGTAATTTTTTTGTTTCAACCTTGCAATTATTATTTTAGATTTCAATTATTCATGGTGTAAATTGCATAATCTGTTGTTATTTTCTATCAAAAATGATGTAAGTGAAAGTACAGCTAAATGTAACCACACCCTCTGTATCTATTACTCCTGCCACTCATGGGGATCCACAAACATTACTGTATGAATAAAAAAAAGCCTTTGGTAATTGTTTGATGGACTTCACTCACTCTCTACTAACCAAATATGTGGGACATGTCATGGAAACTCCCCAAATCCCCACATTCTTGGCCCTGTTAGCAGGGAAGAGCATGAAAGGTACTAGTGAGATTGTGGGGTAAAATTTAAAAAGTATACACAAAATATACATATAATATATCATTATAGTCCAGTGCAGGGGGCTGTGCAACCCCCCTCTTGGGTGCCTGCTTCCCCGCTCAACCCTAGCAATGCACGACAATACTCCACATATTCAAGGCAGGGTAGAGCATACGACCAACATGCAGGAGCACCCATTGTCGAGTGTGTCCTACATGGTATCCTGCTGTACATACAAGCGGATTCTTTGTTGCTCAGGATGGGGTTAGTGGGAAGCAGGCTCCCAGGGGGAGTGGGGGTGGCAATATATTGATTATATATTAACCATTGTTTATTACTCATATTTTACCATACAATTTCCCTGGTACCATAATGCACTCTCTTGCTATCAGGCCAAAGACAAATCAGAGCACAAGCTCCGATCTAGCATCGAACCAGTGGAACAACCGACCATGGATCTTATTTTGGGCATCACATATGTGACACCTGTCACAAGTGGGTTAATGTCCGTTTTCTATAACTTGCATGAAGTGCTCATAAAGGGAGGTACAGGGGGCTTGCCCCCCTATCTAGGGAATGAATACAAGGTAGGAAAAGTTCAGTTGGGTGTTTGGGTTTACATGATATTCAGACTGGAGAGTTTGGTCTGTGTGGAGAACGCGTTCCCCATGCAAAAATTATTTGGTCAAATTCTATAGGCACCAATGTAGTTCTTGGGTAACTTTCCGTGCATATTTAGTTCTTTTTTAAATCATCTTCCATTCATAAAACTATTTTGATCTTTACGCGCACTCGTTTCAACATCCATCTGCAGATCCATCCACACAAATGAAGACAAAATGACGTTTTCCGCGCATGAAAAAAATAAAATATTCTGCGCGAGAATAATACTCTACAGACTGGCATGATATCCCGTTTTGGCACTTAGTCTATGGAGGGTGTGTCGCTCTTGATAACAATTACCTATTTTGGCTTACAGTTATTCAGGATTTGAAAAAATGGTTTGGCTGGAGGATAGGAATCACCACAGACGGAATTTTTACATATAACTTTTTTTCTGTCCATCAAAGGCAAGGTTTAGCTTGTACCTTATGGATGTATGAAACAGAAACTATACCCATTATAATTCTGGGATATCAATATTGAGAATAAATTAAAATAAATATGAATCTGAAAATAAACATTATCTCGTATCCGGACAAGGACAAGAATTGATGATCGAACGGCAAACATTGCACTATATACATTTGTATGGATGCCATGTTACCATGAGAGGAATGGCATCCATTACAGTAATATTGAACTCTGACTTTATGTGAAAATCAAAAACAATGGTTGTGTATGAAAATGCAGCCTTTTCTGTTTACAAATGTCACAAATCAGAAACAAATAGTCATGATGTCATTCACTCCTCCTTCAAATTAATCTTAAGCACTCATACTCTGTATTTAAAGGCTGTTCGACACCGATATTAATGCCATACCTGAGTAAAATTTGGTATAATGACCGGTATGTTTGCGTTCTTGAAGCTCCTCCGCCATATGTATTTACAAATTGAAGAAGCGTGATTGGTTAGATATCTATGACGTCACGAATGAGTTATGTTACGTTAACGTTTATTGGCTAACAAGCTCCCCAGACTCGATTTCTTAAGTATAATAATTCGCTTATATCAATTAGGTCATAATAATTTATGTTGACGTCATTAAAGTTTAACGTAATATTTACTTTCGTCATCTAGATATATTCTTTGGTACTCTTTCTAAGTTATTATTAGGGGTTGTTATTATCGTGAGGGTATTATTATAAGAGACTTATTTCACCTCAAAATTTTACTAAACTTTATTATGTTAAAAATAAAATAAACCCCTGGCCATATAGTATGAATAAAACCGAAAATAGGGGTTTTCGCCCCCTATATTATAGTGATAGGGTAGCATTATAGTATTGTGAGTGCTAGCTCAGGAAGGACACCTACAGTGTGCAGAAGGAGAAGAGAGTTAGCAGTGGCACTGATCGCACGATGAGGAACTACATGTAATTTTCCAGATCACTTGATGATTCGTGACTAGCACAATTCGTGTTTTTCTTCGTTTTTTGATATCCAAGACATTACATTCTTATGGACTATTATATTGACCATTTGCGTTTAGTCAGTTATGACCACTGGCAACACGTTGTAGAAGCCGATATTGTTCGCAAGGATGCAAATGGTCACACGCACACTGCTTATTCTGGTTTAACCGCTTAACACTTCTCCAGTTGTAGCGAGTGTCTTACTATTAAAGAATGTCAAATTTAGAGCTTGTACTGTCTAACCTTTCTTCTTCCTCTAGAGCTCTCGTTCTGACTTGCTTATTACTCTTTCTACTCTCTACGCTTCTCACTCTTCTTTTCTTACTAGTTTTTGCGAACACTTTTACATAGTTTCTAGTATATATAGGCGTGCGACTTTACTCCTTCCTCTCTCTTCGCTACTCTTCGACCTTCTTCTACTTACTCTATTCTGAACCTTCTCTAGGCGACTCCTCTACTTTTCCTTCGGACGTACTCTCTACTTCTATTTCTTCACTTCACGTATCGACATCGCTAGGAATACTAGCGTGCTTCACGTAACATTGTCTCTTGTCTTCTACATTCGTACTAGTCAGAGAGATCTATTCATACCTCTGGACTCATGTCAACCCAAGAACCTGCTGGGAAGGGGAACTTCGTCACTAATAGATCTAGCCTACTATGGCATAATTTCTAGAGACTCGGCTTCTAACGTTGCGATGCTTACTTCCTGTGGTCTTTACGACAGGAGTAGAGACGGTCTGGACGTAGGTCCGTCATAAGGATCAGAGGATACACTCCACATGGTATCGGTATCATCTATGCTCTGGATGAGAGGAAGGCAGAGAGGGTCTTGTTTATGGACAGCTCGTGAGCTTGAACAATTGGAGCCTGGTCGAGAGATGTCGTACCCTGTCTGATGGACAGAAGTTATGGGGATAGTGTAACGAAGGCAATTAGAGTACTAAAGTTAAGCGCAGTAGGTTAGGATATGCGACTCACGAACTAAAATAAAAGACGTCTTTATATTTTATTTGATGTGTTTTGATGACTAGGCCATGGATTGTAAACGCGACACATACGGGACGGTATATGTGATTGAGCAACTATGTTTCGTATTATTAGGTATCTATTTTGTGTTGATAGAGAATATCAAGACAGGTTGTCGCAGTGCACAGCTACTAAGGATCGATTACCTCCTCTAGTTGTCGAGCTCATTCGTTTTTCTCGCTAGAGTAGTTGATGGTCCTTGATATAACATACTTGTCGATGAGTGTCCATAATGGTTGTTTGAGCAGATGAGGCACGAGATCTACTGTGCTGTGAAGGCGGGATTGGTCTTTTCGCGCTGGTGAATGCCTATTTGAACAGTACCACCTACATAATGACAGAAGGGACAGTTCGGGACGGAGACGACGGCGGAACACACACACCACCCAACACACCACACACCCCACACACCACGCCCACTCGCTCGACGCGCTCGCGTGCATGGCAGGCAACGCGCTGCAGACGCGGCATGGCTACCGAGGGATGCGAATAGGGCGTCTCGCAATCGACACCCAGGACACGCTCGCTCTCATCTAGCGACCCGACGCGATATTACTTCTCGAATGCTATAGGAGAACGCGATTGCACACAGTATACTAACACATAACGAAGCATACTTCACATTCTTACAAGGATTATCTAATTAGACATGTTATTGAGCAGTGTGATGCTAGGAGTTAGTTTGTTTAACGTAAATTCCATTCTATATTGATATCATACAGTTGTCGGGATACACACACTATGAACTCTTAAATTGTATTTTAGAACATAAGCTATGATTACTGAATGTTTGTTCTAACTATAGTTAGAACCGTGACACATACACTCCGTCGTTTGATACTGAAAGTTTATGACGGAATAGATTTATGAGGATAGATATTATTTAGATCCAACAGGTAACGAATAACGAGTAGTTCTGTGTTCTTGTATCTCGTATGTCTGTGAGAGTTTTATTCTTCAATTTATTGTGTTTATATATTTGTTTATAATTATATTTGACTGATATATGGTTATTTTTGTATTGTGACTGTGTTGTATTTGTATTCTGTCTTCGGTAATAAAAGGTATCTGTATTCACTTCTATAGGTCAATAAAGCTTTGGATACGATTATATTGTAAGTGTCACTCGATAGTCCTATACATCTTATTCCTGTTTCTCCCTAATTTCTCTTTTTCTCTCTCTTGGTGTTACCAAAAGCGTGTTGGTTAAGCTGCTTATTCTCGTTCTAGTGTTCTAGTATAAAGTCTAACAGGTTCTGCTGTGTCTTGCGGTGTTCTCTTCTATATCTCAGAGCGAGACATCTTCGTGTCTTTTCTTTCTTTCTCTTCTCATTCTCTATACATCTTCAGCGATACGAAGTGAATTATAGATCTAACTGCTCGATCCTCGCGCCTGAAGACTCAGAGCAGCAGGAGCTCTCTTTTCTAGTCTCATAAATCGTCTTTCAGCCGTTATCTTCTTACAACACTCGTAATTGCATTTAGATCCATTCCCTTCTCGTCTCAGATTTATATAAAACGGATTAGCAAATTACAGAAATCTTGTTCGAGTTGCTTCTCTCTCGGTACATTCAGGAAAGAGATTGAGACTCAGGTCAGATTCACTCGGTCGCTTACGTGATCGGTGGCGCATCTCATACAGGCGGTACGCGCTCGACAGTGGGGGCCAGGCGTGTCGCTCTGGGGACAGGGGTCCGTGCGATCCAGTTCGTTCTGGCAAGTGGATTGCTTGCTTCGTTCGTTCTTCTCTCTCGCTTTTGTTGATTGCTCTCAATGTACTTCTTACTTTCGCTAATGCATGTGGTAGTTCTTCCCTTCTCATCGACACTTCTGTAAGCTGCATGATTTTTGCCTTTACGTGTGGTTTTGGCAAATCCCATTTGGTCATTCCCCTGTTCTCGCTTTGTCGTCGTGGTCTATCTTTGGCGTCGTGGTTGTTCTCTCTACTATACATATATATGGCTAACGTTTTATCGTTTAGATTCTCTCTCCCTTCCATCGATCGATAGACAATCTCGCGTGATTGCAATGTCTACAGTTGTGCATCACTCGCCTGTGTCCGCATGAGGGTGGATGTTTATACTCTTTACTCATCTGAGTGCTCTCTACATGTGTTCTCGTCCTTTCTCGGCCACGCTAATAGCTTCTTTTCTGTCTTCGATCATTCTTCTTCTGTGGAGCTGATGATTCCCACGACGCGTTGATTTTATATCTCTCTCATACCATTTTCCACATTTATATTAAGATAAGCACTATTTCCGCACCGTATTTGAAATGTATGAAGAAAACAAATGAACACGCATGGTAGTACGCATGCACGCATACACACACGCACCCCCCACTCCATACACACATTCTTACCCGTTGTCCCGTAACTTGGAAGCCCCAGTGCGTTGTTCAGACTCACTTGTCATGTCGCTTCAGACACGAAATAAGAACTTTTAAAAGTATTCTCAAGACTTCCCTGTCGTATCTCAGACAGACCATAATACCAGTCACTGTTGATGTTCAGTTGTGGATTAGGGAGGACTGTCGGTATCTATTTCTCCTTTTGATTAAACTGCGTACGCAATATATATATGAATAGATCGAATAAAGGTTAGAATTCTCTGGGCCTGCTATCAGTACTGCTGAATTTGTCTTGTAGATATTTTGTTGGTCTTCCTGGCTTATACCTTTTCTTATTCTCCTCCTTTATTCTTCTCGCGTCATATTATTCTCGCTGCTATCGATCATAACATGTAGATGTTCTCTTGCGTGTCATTCTTCAAGGCAATTATTGCAGTTTGTCTCTCCTTCGTACGCCTCTTCTCACACTGACAATAATTCGCTCCGCTTTGGCCTTTCGTTCGGTTTGTATCTTTTGACATACCATAATTAAATCTTTTTCCGGGCAGCTATGGCATTCACGTAACGCGGTTCTCGGTACGCGCGAAGCGAACCACATATGTAATGTTTGACAGGAATATAGGCAGAGTTGGTTGCGCCTTAAGATACATCCCTAAAGAAGAACACCAATTATGTTTATTTTAATCACGCTTACTTATTATATACTGTAGAAGTGTTTATTGGCGAGATTCGGCTTTTCACTGTTTACTGTTACTCTTTATTTTTATTCATTTTATCTTATTTATATATATATAATCTTGGCTTGGATCTTATTTAGTCTTCACTGTCAATAGACGTGGTGTTCAACATCGCTTAATCGATAGAGACTTGAATGAAAAAATTCTAGATTCGATTTAATGTATGTTGTTGACAGTGCGTGCGAGTTCGTTATCGTGCTTGTCTTTGTCTTGTTGTTTCCCACGGCACTGACTTCATCTTCTCTTTCTCGTACTTATTAACTGCATTCTATTCTCCTATTTTTTTCTCCTTTCCTTCCGGCCACTTCTTTCACCTTCTGTCCTCCTCCCTCTCCTCAGACTTGCGCCTTCTTCCAAGTAAACATGGAAAAGGG